AAATCTCTAAAATTGTCCCTTGGGCATTTACAAATGGTGTCATACTGTTTGGAGAACCTTGGTAATATCAGTCGTTGGGATAACGTGCATGCGATGTCCAGTTGGACAGTTGTGTTCCTTGCCCATTCCTCCAAGTTCAAACAGAAGCTTGGAGTGCTGAAAGCTCTTCAGTCACTGGGAGATATCTTGCTTGTTGAGGGTGATGCGACTACAGCTATCACATTATTTACAGTTGCTTTGGATGGGTTCACTTCGATGGATGTCCATCACAGTAGAGCAGAGTGCATGCTCCGCCTTGGTGATATTCATAAGAAACAAGGAAACATGTTGAAGGCAGTAGACTATTGGACAACAGCAAAACCTCTGTTTGAGCGGTCATCACAGGCAGATCGGGTTAAACATGTTGATCAAAGGCTGGCTGAGACCAGTGTGGAAGTGGTGAAGCAACACCAGTCCAACCTGGCTCATCTGGCAAAGCTCAATGCACCATCCGAAATTGTTGATGACCAGGATGACCAATCGGAGATTAAAATGGAGGGGCTAGGTTTGGAAGATGAGGCTGAACTTGATCCAGTTCTTGCCTGAATGTGGAGGAGGGCAACTTTGGTGTATGCGGTCATCATGAAATAGTATAACCATGCTTCCGTAAAATTTAACCATATGTCTGAGTGATTTTGTACGGGTACTATATAGGAATCACGGAACGGGATATTGACCTTGGGGGCAGTTGGATGAAATACAGGAAACGTCTAACATTACTTAGCATGGTGCAAGAAAAAACAGCGGGGAAGGAAACAGTAAGAGCGCGCAAAGGCTTGTGGAAAAGCTCGACAAGATGATAGGTTGATGCAAGGCTCCAAACAAGACCATTGGAGGTTTCAAACCTTTTTTCCGTTGCAGAAGCCGCTTGTCGAGACGGCCGAAAAGACTCCTTGTGTCGGGAACAAAAACGACAGACGCGGAGGAACAACAAAAAATGCACGGCAGGAGCAAAGCACCAAAAACGAAGGTAGGTATCTTACACGGCCGTCCGAATAACGAACACCGGTCCCAGGAGATATCTCGGCATACAAAGCAAGCTAAGTAGTATATGCATTTGCCCTTGGACCTTGGAGAAGGTTTACCAACTTCTGCAGCCCTTGGTCGACACCATTAACGTGATGGGCGCGCCCGTACAGGCAGCCCCGACGCAGCTGCTGCCAGAACCTGCGCCGGAACCCGAACCCACTGCACATGAAACGGGGAGAGGCAGGAACGCGCCACCCAAGCAGCTAGGCAAGACACGCACACGAGCACATGCACGCGCACATACTCAGACGTCCTGCATCTGGACGGTACATGGCCGCGTACCAGCCCGGGCCCAGGAGTTCCGAGCGGTGCGTACCCCGCTACCCAGAGGAACGACGAGAGCGCAGGACGTCCGCATTATCCCATTGCGCCCCCCTGCTGCACTAAGGCTCCAACTGTTTAGTTTTGGTTTAGGGTTGGCCGTAAACTAAACCAAAACCTTAAGAAAAGGTTTGAAACCGTTTAAACTGTTTGTAAACAGTAAGATTTTCCATAAAAAATTACTGTACAAAGTTGAGGACTTAGACAAGCTGGTTTAAGCTAGGTAGGATTTAAACATCAATTAACGGCCTTTCGGACTCTTGGGAGAGCAAATTGAGCAAAAGAGAGCTAGATATAGGGGACTCTTTCGTAAGGTGACGTCACATCATTGATTTCCGGCAGGGTTGCCGATCTCCAGTTGCAGCTCATCACAGCCCGGCCGAAGCCCGGCAGATCAGTAGTCTCAATGTGCGCTACACTAGGCACCTCCATTACTCACCTCCGCAGAACGACACCAGGAGCGGCGCCACCTCGGGCTGCTGTACCCGTACTGCACGCATGGCCCCCAACGGGACAAGCATGCAGTGGAACACACGGCACCATAGCGCCTGTGATGCGAAAGGCGCAAGACGAGCTCTTTCACGGGGCGCGCTTGCGAGGAACAGCATGCACGGACCACACTAGAAACTTGCACGCCAGGCGCGCACTGAGGCCCATACCGGCCCACATCTCGCAGCGTCAGACGCCGCTCGGGGCGCGCACCCCTTACCCGGGGGCACAATCCGCCTCTGCATCCCACGCACACGCACACGCACACGCACACGCACCCGTCTTCTCCACCCAAAAAAGAGAGAAACAGTCCAAAAAATCGCACTCACCCTTCTCCTCCCAAAGATCGAGCTTATTCCCCGCCAATGTACAGGAAACATGAGCATCGGCGTGTGCACGGACGTCTATGAGCCAGGTGCAGGCGTTGTCGAAGGAGCGGCGGGAGGCGACGTCGTAGACGAGGAGGCAGCCTGTGCGAGCGTTAACGAGCGCACATTGCAAAGGAGGGGGGGAGAGAGAAAGACAAGACACGCACCCGCACCCGCAGCGCCCCGATAATACGAGCTCGTTATTGATCAAAACGACTCGGTGCCAACCATATCCCAGCAGTGGAGCTTGACGATGGTGGCTTTGGGCCGGGGAAGGTGATTAGTTTTGAAGCCAAATTCGACGCCGAGCTGTATAGGGAGGAATTACTTATGGGCAGAAGTAATAAATGACGCACTGTAGGATCCCGATTCGCGAGAAACCTCTGGTCCGTAAGTACAAGCAGCGAAGACTTGCCGACTGCGGCGTCGCCGGTGATGATGAACTTCAAGACGTAGCGCCATGCGGACTTGCCATCTTCGTCTAGTAGGCCTCCATTCAGAAATCTTGTAATCGACTCTAGGCCCCAATCGAGTGGCGTGCAAGTCGAGTCAAGTAATCCTTCCTGGAATTCATAGTCCATCAGTAAAACAGCAGGTTCGTCTTTCGCGTCTTTCACGTCTTGCGGCAAGACGTGAAAGACGTGAAAGACGAACATTTTTCAAAGACGCGCGTCTTTCACTAAGCAGGGTCAAAAGTCTTTCCCAAGACCTCGCGTCTTTTACGTCTTTCCCAAGACGGAAGTCTTGGGAAAGACATGAAAAGTCTTGCGGCAAGTTCCTCTGAAAGATTGGAAAGACAATTCAAAATCACAAAAGATAAACCAAAAAACACATATATTCGGGGCTACTGAAACAGCTGAGAAAAATCTCAAGTTACATGTAGTTCTATCGCTCTCTGGCCATCCAAACAGGTCAACAAAGAAACACTGGAAAAGAAGGATGTGAGTAATGGAATCAGAGCCAATGGGCTGGCGTACCTCTACCATACAATACGGCGCAACGTCAAAGGGCATTAAAAATGGGACTGACAGCCCAACATTGATGTTACGCGCAAGGGTTTGAACGACGAAATCCAGAACTAATGAGGTACGGCTTGATCTTGATAGGAAACAACGCCAGAACGAATTGATTGTGACTTGAATTGAGATTGTAGGCACGGGTTGACAGGAATCCTGGGAAAGGGCCACCTGGTCCCAAAGGTAGGCATGTCTTGAGCCGTGGTCTTGAGGCGAGAGTACATGACCGATGAACCAGGCAGGCAAGCCAGACACACCATATAGACCAGGAAATTCTGTCCAGAAGGCTCTATGTCTTCAGACTTGTCGCCGCGCACGTAGGCGATGACGTGGCGTCGCATTTCGCGGTCTTGCGTCGCACTTCGCGGTCTTGAGAAGTTTGAGGGGCCATGTCAACGGCTTGCTCTGGTGTTGAGACTTTTGGGACTCCAAGTGGGCGGGCCAAGAACACAAAGGGAGGGAGGGATGGCGGAAGGGAAGTGGGGGTTGGTGGGAGAAGAGAAGAGACCAACGACTCAAAACAAAAAAGTCATGCCAGCTGCCTGTCAGTGTCAAGCGCCACGATGCGGTGTTTCGCTTCGCAGCGATCAAAACACCGGCGGAGTTTCAAAGACTTGTCGGCATTTCTCTTGATCGTCACTTCGCCTTGGGCGGGGTTTGTATATTCAGGCATTTGGTTGAGGTCCCTCGAACTATGCGCAATAATCTGAGGTAACGTAATTTCGACTAAGTTTCCATACTGTACAGTTTCATTCAATTCGGATGTCACGCGTCACAGGGCCGAAAATTTCAGAAAATATTCGAACCTGTCACGGGTCACCGAGGGAATTTTCGAATGTGCCGAAAAAGTGATAGAATCCGCGAAAAATGGCCCCAAAAATCGAATTTTGGCGTGCATTGCGCGTTTGTGCTTCCGAATGCTGAGGAGCTCTCACGAAATGCCCCTTTGACATGATCGGGGCCTTTCTGGCCCATCCTGGATCTCGAGACTGTTGGGAAGGCCACGGGATCGACGAAAAAAGTGTAGGTACTTAATGAATTCAATATTGATCGAGGCCCCTTTTGGTTGTCTTGGCAGAGCGCCCTACGCTCCCTTGTTGACTAAGTAGCACTGAACAGGTCTGTTCAAAAGGTCTGAGAGGCAGATCCGCCGACTCCCGACGAATTTTCGAATTTTTTTAGGTGTCACCCCTTCCCCGACCCATATTCGAAAGCTCAGGTTCGAAAGTCGCGGTCACAGGTCACACCCCCGTTCGAATTGATCGAAACTGTACAGTAATTAGCTACGAGTTGTTTTGCCGATGAAGGAATTGAAAGATCATTACGAAAGACTAAAGACCCGTCCTCGGAAGACAAAGATGTTGAAAGACAAGGAACGAAAGACGTAAGACGATCTTCTCAAGATCAAGACTCTGAAAGATGAGATGGAAAGACGGAAGACGGGAAAGACGAACCTGCTGTTTTACTGATGTCGTGTAAGGAGAGTAGCAAGCTTAAGGAGCAGTAATCCAGGAAAGCGTTGGATGCAAGTCAAAGCGAGATCTATGGACGCCTCGACTTGACTTGAGTGTTAGACGGGAGAGTGTTACAGACGAAAGAGGAAAGACGCAGCCGATTGCAGCCGAGGCAACGCGTCGCTCATTGGCTGCGGCCACGTGCTGTGCCGCGATGCCGCTTCTGCTCTGTCTTCGAAGTCTCTCTCTCTCATGTTATCGCTCTTCCACTTTGGAGACACATTGACTCGATGGCGAAGTGTGGTGACGTATCCACAAACTGTTCGACTTCTTCGTGCAAGTCGCCGGTTCGATTCCGGCTCGAGTCATAGACGGGAAGAGGACAATTTTTGGGGGGCTACGCCTTACTTTTTCCATTAGACTCTCTTTGCATTACCCAGACTGTACACAGGAATCTGCGTCGCAGCTCAAGTCGCAGATGAAGATGAAGCCATCCAATTATCCTCTCCACCATTTTCTCGAGTCCGTGCTGACGTCGAGTTGTTGATCATCTGAAATAAATACTTCACAACGTCCTCAGGCAATTTCTTCCGAGCCCAAACCGTCCTCCCCACGAGGTTCTTTCCTTGCCGTTTGAAAATTGGAAACACTCAAAAGACTGGATTCCATTCACTGCAGACGTTTTGAAAGCTTCTTATCTCGCACGGTTTAATTTGCGCCCGAGTTCTGGTAATTAGGTTTTCGATTCATTGGACAGCTAATGTATTACACCCTCTCCTGTATCCAGGAATTCAGGTGAGATTAATCGACTCGGTGGCGAAATGTATTGCGTCTACTTCATATATCGATTTGGAGGTTCAAAGTGAAGGTTGCCCGTTCGAGCCGGGCCCGAGTCATAAACGAGCTCAGGTGTTTATTCTTTTTGAAGGGAGGTGTTCCTCGCAGTGTGGGGAAAGAAAAGAAAAAAAAGCAGGTTTGTCCACCAAACCTGTTCGGACATTTCTGTTCGGACGTTTGAAATGCAAGGCGAGTGAGCGAGGCCTTAGCTAGGCTCGATATACATGGGGTTGCGGTCAAGATTCTCATGTTATCATTCTTCCTTCCACATAGACTCGATGGCGTAGTGTTAACGCGTCCCTTTCGATTGTGTGGAATTCGGTTCGACTCCGGCTCGAATCGTGATTTGAATGTTTGTGTGTTTTTCTTCTTCGTTCCCTTTTGGCTTCAAGTTGGCCTCCTTTTGACGCTTCACTTGCCTTCTTATGGAAGCAGTCGGGTTTGCCATTTGCTCAAGTTCAATTCCCTCCCGAGTGGATATCCATCTGAATCATTCCACAGAATTCACTTCATTGTCCGCGCATTCTACGAAAAACAACTAATTCATCCGGCACTCTGTTCGTTCAAGGTGGTCCGAGTTGGAGCTATACTACCGACTCGGTGGCGAAATGTATCGCGCCCACTTCACATTGTCCAATCTGGTTATCCAAGTGGAGGTTGCCTGTTCGAGTCGGGCCCGAGTCATAATCCAGCAAGTCCGCTTCTTTTTTCCTTGACCATCAACCCCCATTCCTAACATCAGTTTCTCCTATGTCTTTCGCACTCACGCAGCAGAAAATTCCGGGGGGGTTGTGGGGTGAGTGATTGGCAATTGCGTGAGGGTGAAATTATTGAGCCACGTATTCAGCCTACATTCAGTGGTATAATATAGTGTAGGTCGGAGTGGAGTAATGTTCCACCACTTGTATTTAGACCAGATGCAACACGCACACCGACTCGGTGGCGAAATGTATGGCGTCCGCTTTACATATGCACTCAAGGCTCAAGCAAATATCGTCGTGAGTGGAAGTTGCCCGTTCAAACCGGGCCCGAGTCATGATGTGGTCGACAACTTTTTTCTTGCATTCCTGGCAAGGGAAAGAGAAAATCAGGTTTTTTCATTGTCTATAACCGCGCAAAATCTGTTCATTGGCTTAAAATCGATTTCCGTGAGTGGGGCCTTGATATACTTGCACAGTCAATTTATTGAAAAATTATTCCGCAATGTACTTTTCGAGTCTACATATATCCCACTTGTAGACCGACTATGTGGCGAAACGTATCGCATCCCTTTCACTTATATTATGACTTTATAGCGTTGGGTTGATGTAGCCCCTTCGAACAGGGCCAGAGTCATCGGTTGAACGAAAAGTGCCTTTTTTCTTCTGCTTGGTCAAGGAAAAGAGGACAAATACGGATGAGTTCCATCGTGTGCAAAGTTCAAACCTGTTCTGGCGTTGCAATGAATTTATGACAAAACGATTTTATTCTGCCGTTTATTCAGTTTAGATTTAACGGGTGCACCAACTCAGTGGCAAAATGTATCGCGTCCGCTTTACATGCTATGTGTGGAAAGCCAACTTGTGAGTGGAAGTCGCCCGTCAGAACCGGGGGCCAGAACTTTATTTCCCTACACTGGTTGAAGATTTCAATCCCTCGTGAAGTTTAGGTGTAATTTCAAACGAATCAGTAATACAAGTAGATATCCCTGCTCTTCTCCGACCTACGTTCTACCACTCGCCAACTCGAATGTCCAGAATTCCGCGTTCCGTAAGCTGCGGCATCTTCTCCTCAACCAGCGCCACCAACTCCGTACTACCGTGAACAGACGGTTTTTCCACAGCCTCGGCTCTGAACACCTTCGTTTTGACGACCGATGTCCATTGAGCTATGGTGGACTTATTGCGGTACTTGGAGGGCCCGTATACCTGCAGCTCCACCCTCTGCAGCGCAGGCATATCCGCAGCAACGAGAATGGCTTCTACGTTCGGGAGCTCCATCGCATCTTTGGGTAGGAAAATGTAAAAACAAATTGTGCGAAGAGTCTTTGCACGGGCAATGGCTTTTACGAGTGGTGCCGTCGCGCTCCAGAGGGTGATGTGCGACAGCGCTGGCAAAGATCCGAAGTCTAGGGACTCCGGATCCACGATCTGCTCTGCAGCTATGAGATGCGTTATCATTTTAAAAAGTGAAGTACACCTACCCGCACTCCAGAATTCCAAGCTTTGGATGGTACGACTCGCGGTGCGTAGGACTTGATATAGTCTCACGTCCAGAGAAGAACAGTCATATTTAAGGTGCGTGAGGTGGGATAAATCGAGGGGAGACGCGGAATGCACGATGAAATCGGAGATGCTAGAGCTGATGGGCAGCTCAAGGTGTGTGATCCGCAAACGGGGGGAGTTGTTTGCGAGCGGAGGATTGTAAGGAGAAGGCGGATCGAACAGCCAAAAACCAACGTTGAAGATGCCGCGGTTGCAGCTTGCTAGAATGGTGTGCAGGTCGTTTTGGTCCCAGTTTCTATAGAAGAAGACTTGGTGTAATGTGGGAAGAGAAACAAAGGCCGTGATCAGATCGACAGCCAGCGGCGTTTTCTCCTTATGGCCCCGCGCGAAGTGGATTGCAGACAGGTGTGACCAGGGTAAATGGAGAATTGGGGCCAGGGTTTCTGCATCACACCTGCCAATCGACAGCTCGCAAATGTAGTGGACAAGATGTGGCGAGCGGGTAAGAATCTTTGCGAGCTGCTTAGCCGCGATTGAGCGAACTGTCTCATACGAGGTAGCGATGTAGATGCTGCGAAATAGGAGCATCTGGGCTCGTCCGACAAAGGCCCGGCAGACGAGAGCTGAAGCCAAGAGGGCGCTAGGACATTGAGCGAGACAATCTAGGATTTCGTCCCACAGTTCCTGGGCGAGCAAGGTGAATGCGGTTACAGCCGCTGTGGTGGATTTAGAGAACCGGTTTTTGGACGGCCTGAAGTGCCCTCGCAAGCCCTTGAAGGTAAGATCCATGGTGTAAGGAAGTAAGAGGCATGGGGGCTGTGTCGGCCACGGCATCAGACCAAATACTGCCAAGCAAACAAACACTCTTTGCAAGATCTGGGAGTGGGCAGCGATGGACATCAGATGGGCTGATGGATTGCTACACAGCCACATCAAACCGCGCCGCTGCATGTTTGGAGTAATTCTTCGCCTGCAGAGCAGCTGTGGCCCCTAGGAAATTTGAGAAGGACGGAATATACTTTATCTCACCCAATACAAGGTCTATGTATCAAAGGATTTGAGAAGACACTGATAATTGAGCTGTCTCGACCCTTAATCACACAAAGTCACGCTTGGTGACCACTATGATTTGGTCCCAGCACTTCGCGTTTTTGAGCTAATATGGCCATTTGGGGGCTCCCGGCTGTACGCGGCACCCATTTTAAGTCAAATATCTAGAGATTGGTAAAGGTCAAATTTTTATTACCACTCAGGTTGTGATGCCGGCGGACCAAAATTCACAACTCGGGGGAGCACAAAAAAATGTGCTTAACCAATCTCTAGGTAATTACTTTTAATTCACTTTTGCCCCCTAGCTTTAGCTCTGAGGGAGGGAGGGAAGCTCGAAAACAGGAAGGCGTTTGGTAGGAGGCAGATTGCAGGAAGGCTTCATCAATCAACATGAACAAAGAGATTGCTGATGGCTTGATCGCTGCCCACTCCCACAAGATCGCTACTTTTCGCCCCAGTCACGTGCTCCAAATAAGGGAATTCGCGTGTCTTGTTTGCACTTTTCACTCAATTCAGCAACTCACCGGCTGGAGGCTACGGCGGAGTTGTGACCATTGTTTATTTTTTTCTGTGCCACCTGTGCAAAGGGAACTTGTCAGCAAGCCATTGCATGAACTTGACAATTAAGGACATTTGGAAGCAATTTGAAGGCTTGATTGGCATATGTATATACTACGAGATACTACGACATGGTGGGTATCTGTTTTTTATCTACACCGCGCAGGACGACGTATGTATCGAGCTGGCACCACACCCATAGGATGCTGCTGTTGTGGAGCTGATCCCAAAAAAGGCAGCCGCGCACTCTCATACCCGCGGGAGACGCGTGCAGAGGGCGGTCGAAGCGCGTACCGTATACGCGCTGATGTGACAGCGGGAACGCCACGTAATGCAGCGCTTACGCAGCATATAAAGACGCGTCTCTCAGTCCCAGGCTCAAGCGTGTGCGGGAAGCGCCGGGGGCAGCATGGCATGGGGTGCAATGCCACCATGTCATAGTCGCAACGACGGCAGGGGACAATCAATGGTGCCACGCCTGTCACAAAGGCGTGGTGCGTAGATGGAACGGGAAGGACACGGCGGGGATGAGAAGGCGGGAATGAGTGGTCGGCACACGGGTGGTGGCGGAAAGACAGAACGTTTACGAGTGACCTGTCACACCGGAGACTCGGTTCCATTTGCGGTTGAGGAGCAAACATGACACGCTAATTTCCTTATTGGGCGCACGTGACTGGGGCGAAAAGTCAAAAGCTCTCTTTGCAAAGCACCTCCGCGACCAAGGCGCGCCTGAGAAATAGCGGCAGTCTGGGGTTTTCTCTGCATCTCATTCGATATTCCTTAATGCAACTCGGGGCTTCAACCGTCCGGAGGGGTGAAAAGACAATTTCAAGTGAAAAGACAGATTCAAGAATCAAGATTCACCCTGTATGACAGCGGTTGAACTACGGCCTTACATGTCGGCGGCCTGCGGTCGTCGCGTCGGCTGCTCTCCTCTGTCCAACTCGGTTGGCTGACTGGCCGGACCTTTTGCGGACCGCAAAGATCACATGGGCTGGCTCCGTCTCATGCTCACTTGTCGGCTGCCGTTGGAAGCCTGTAACGAAGAGTTTAAATTCCGACCAAGCACCGAAGTACTGACCAGCACTCTTGAACTTGTCACACCATGATCCAGACGTGGACATCACTCTTTGCATTTTTGTTGGTCGCCGCCGCCGTACATCTGCCACGCCAAACAAACGATGGCGTCCATCTTGCTATTACACCTACGTGCGGAAAGCTGGGTGGGACTTTCACCAACGCTAATGCTGGGATTGTAACCACTGGCATCAAAATACTCGTCGCCTTCGGGGTATGTTCTGCGCTCGCCATGTCTTCCGTTCCACTGACAGCTGCTTATAGGACTCTTACACGTCGGGTGGGCGCAGCGATGGCGGTACTCTTCCGGCCGCCGTCCTCAATGGCACCAGTCCTCGCGCAGGCGGCCGCGGTACGGACGGACCGGTCTGGGCTGAAGACGTCGCAAGCGACCTGGGTGCCACGATAAAGGACTACGCCGTGCGCCCCTTCTCGTAGATTGGCATGCCACGGCACCGTGCTGATAACTCATTAACGAAGGTCTCTGGCGCAGTCGTGAATGTGACCCTTTGGCCAAGCGAAGCAGGCGCCTCAGATTTCCTACATCAAGGCACGCTTCGCATTGCCTCGAAAATGGTCTCGTCTCAGACGACTAATCCCAGCCGCTCTCTTCCTCAGCCAAAATAATATGTTGAACCCGGCGACGACGCTCTACACGGTTTTCTTTGGAATCAAGTAAAGCATCAGCTAGCAATCTATTCGATACGATGGTATTGACACATTCAATCAACAGCGACTTCGGTGCTTCTTCAAGTGCGTGCACTCTTTCCTTACAAACGTTGCTCTTAGGCTTATTAGCATCAATTTGAAGCGGACGGGAACCACCTCCCTCAAGCCGCCGCCGCGCTCCTCACGCAAATCAAGCAGCTCGCCGCAGCTCCCACAAACGCGAAAAACATCCTCGTGCTGGACGACTACGGACGTGGAGGGCATTCGACCACCGGGGACGCGTGGAAGCAAGCTGTCTTCGCCGGCCTCACCCCTCTGCGTGCGCAGGGCCTCAACGTTGCTTTCGTCGACTTCGCGCCCCTTTGGGATGCAGTGCTTGGGACGACGCCGGGCTTCGCTGCGTTCGGGTACAAGACCTCCGGCGCCTGCATCCCGAACGCGTCGCAGACAGATCTCACTGGGGAGTGCTCGACGCCATTGAACTCGTTCTACTGGCTTCCCGGGTGAGTGGGCGTTGCTGTTTCTGTGCGGAGTCCGTCGCTAATCTTTGTAATGCGGAATAGACATCCGTCCAAGGAAACGCACCGTATCATGGCTGATTATGTCAACTTCGTGCTGGCGAACTGTAAGGCATGATCCAAGCGCTCCCGGAGCGTTGCAATTAAACCGTGTATGTACCATCGTCGTATGGCAATCAATTGTCGTCTTGTGCAGACCGAGTTGCGTTGTGTACTCATCTCCTTTCTGGGTAGCATCCTCTTTCCCCCCACTGCCTACGATATCTTGCTATTGTCACCTCGGCGCCAGCTGTTCACTGATTTGACATGTGCATTCCCCTCAGTTTCATGTGCAGACTGGGCCAAACAAAGGCACCGCAGACGGGAGCTGAGACCAGAATGGCGCTAGGATAATGATAGAGATAGTCTAGGTTCTCGTCCCATAATTCTTGGACAAGCAAGCTAAATGCTGTTGCAGCCGTTGTGGTAGGTTTGGGCAGAGCCGATCCTAGAACGGCCTGAAGTGCCCTCGCAAGTCTTTGAAGGTACGATTCATCGATGCTCGTAGATTGTAAGGAAGCAAGAGGGTTGCAGGTTGTTTCCTGCGTTGTGGGAGATCATAACCTCCGAGCGCTGTTTTAGCCATTTCGATTGCCGCGTTTTGGGTGGCCGACGCCGACTCCCGAGCGGGTTGCCAACCGCGCAAATTATCAGCGAAACGGGTTTCTGCTCTGTAGTGAGGTCGACAGGAGGTGCCTCCGGCACATAACCGTATTAGATGACTGTCGAACGGCGAACATGCTGTTGAAAGCTGTGTTTGAGCGAAGATTCTCGTCCCGATGATGAATGAATGGAATCCGATTATATTTTCCCGTATGATATGTACGTGCATTGCAGCCTGGTCGGTACCGTCGTCGTATGGGGAAGAAGTACCGAGAACTTTGATTCTCGCCATACAAATGGCACCATTCGCAGTGTTGCGCAACGGAACAGTAATGAACTCCACGGCCCTAGGAAACTGCGAGACTGCAGCGCATGCACAACAACGACAGAACAAAACAAAAAGAGAAAGTGGGGAGAGGAACGGTTGGGAGGAGATCGCACGACGTCCTGCGAATTCCAAAATGAAACTAGAACGAACCTCGCCCTCTCCTGGCACGATCTCGGGCGACAGAACGTTCGCGGGCTGACGCGGACCACATACGCAGCCTGTGCATCTGTACAAAATCACAGACTATGTCAAGAACGCAGATAACACCGGTTCACACATACACAGTCCATAATGTCGGTGCTGCGATAGGGACCTCCCCAGCAGAGTGAGTATTGGCCCATCCCTGGCATCATGGCAGCGCGTCACACACTCGTCTACTGAATGCAGGAAAAGGCGTATAAACGACACGACCGACGCCGAATCGCAAATCCGAACCTCGTATGTGCACTGGAAAACACCAACACCGCGACGCGGGAGCGTAAAGCGGGGCATTCGAAAATGAAGTGCGATCGCGCGAAGAATGCGATCCAGCCTCTAGTCCGCGCATCGAAGGCATGGGATGAAAGAAAAAGATAGAAGAGGAGGGGGCAGGATGAACGGAAGAAATTACGAGGAAGGACAAGAGAACGGAAGAGTAAAGCGAAAGTGGGGAGAGCGGGCGGACAAGAAGATGGATGCAAGGCACAGAGCACGCACCTCATCGGCCACAAAATGCGCAGAGAGCTCGGTCGGGACGGCGCGATCGCGGGCGTCTGTAGAAGAAGGATGTCAGTACACCCATATATGACGTTTGGAGAGGTAGAGCATACTTCGATGGGGTCGTTAAACTTCTGCACTCTCAAAAATGCGTCTTGGATGATACTCGACTTTGTCACCCAAGGAAACACGACACGCGCCATCGCGCGTGACGTCAGCAACAGTAAATTCCGCTGGTCCCCGAGTTTGTGGGAGCAGGGCAAGGCAGGCTCGATGAGCGCACTCACACAAGCGTCCCGCACATCGAAACCGCACGCATCGCATGGCATCGACATGTCCATTCCACGCGTCGCGCGTATGGGCACTCTCGCGCCAGGATTTGAACGCACCCTGCATGAAAGCAAGAGGCAGGGACAGGGACATCTGACACAGCGCGGCACGCGAGCCACCCACCTCACGAACACGAGACGTTCACGACACAATTCGACCCCACCACCCATCACACCACGACAGGACCGCACACACGCGCTCCTCGTCGTAATCATGCACGCCCCCAGACACGCATTTAGCGCCACTCGGGGGCCGCACCTCCGCCACGGCGCGGAATACACCTGAGACGAGATGGACGGGATGCGCGAGATGCGCGAGCCTCGCGCGAGGTACCAGATTCGTAAGACAAAAAACGAAGACTGGTAGTGGCTCACGCACGACTCGAGCCGGATTCGAACCGGCCTCTTCCACCTAACGTCTAGCATTTTTCACCATGTACCATAAGCGGATGCGTTAGCACTTACGCCATCGAGTCGGTGCGTATGCTGGAAGATGATCACTTGTAAGACTTGAGAAGACAGAAAAGAGGAGAAAAGTCGGCATCCCGGCACGGCACGTGTGCGCAGCCAATCAGCGACGCGTTACTTCGGCGCTGCGTCATTTCCTCTTTTGAATTTCTCTCGTTTTCCGTCCGAGACCAAGTCAAGTCGAGGGGGATAGAAATCGCTTTGACTTTCATCCTACATCTGGAATCTCTGGATCACGGCTCCTTGCTACTGCTGAGTCTTCGAATTCAAGACTTTCCGAAATCATGCCACTCGATTCGGACACTATTTAACAAGACTAGTACCAGTCCATTCCAAGTGGATTTTCGAAGAGAACAAGGAGGATATAAACAGTTACGACTTGAAGATCGCGAGCCCCGCCGGCAAGTCGTCGTTGCTCGTACGACTCACAGACCAGCGATTTCTCGTCAATCCGGATCTTCCTCGTGCGTTTTACTTCTCATGTCTTTAATACTGATAATTTATTCCCCCACCCAGCTCGGCGTCGAATTCGGCTCGAAACTAATCACTCTAATGCTGGAACATGACGAGGACGGAGTCGTGTCGATCCATAACGGGGTCGTATTATCGCAAGGCTGCGGGTGCGTCTCCTTCCTTCCCTCCTTCCTTTCCCCCTTAATCTTCCTCTCTTTCCTTCTTCATCCCATCTCCTCAAATGTACTCGTATAACTCGTATAAGCTCGTTAACGCTCGCAGAGGCTGCCTCGTCGTCTACGACGTCACCTTCTGCGGGGTGAGTGCGCATTTCTTCTCCACTTGGTGCGATTGGGGATCTTTCGACTGATCGACTGCTCAAGTGCATATGAGGAACGCGCGCCTTGAACGGATCTGCCGCTGGGTGTACAGGATCTGGTCGGGCGTAGCACATACCCGATTCTCTGCGGGGACGATGGGGTGCGCTGAGGTGTCTGTCTGTCTGACATTCCTCGCTTGGATCGGTCATCGCACGCGCATCCTGTGCTCTCGTATTGGCACACACGAGCACGGGAGCAGCGTCGGATGGGATTCAGGCCAATCGGTACTGGGACCGCGGACGCGGCGCATCTCGCATCCTCTCTCTTCCCTTTTGATGACTCTCTCAGTGGTTTCACCACATCTACTGAGATTATAGTATAGGGACGGACAGTCACCGGCCGACTCCGAGTCTGCCAATGGGCGTCTGCTCTAGAGAGCAAAGCTGAAATGCCTTCTTATGCTCAAGACGCTGCATTGTTCGAGATCTACGTCTTTTTTTTACCCCGCTCCACCGCGATTCTACCACGTTTTCGTAGCCGTCCAGTCGCCGAACATCATGCCTCGCCAGTCAATTGCTCGAGATTAGCAGATATCTTCTCTCTACCTGTCTCTTTGGTTGTGATCAGCTCTCCATGATCCACTCCCATACCAATAACACAAATTTATTCCAGCCTCTATTCAAGCGGGTTGAAGATGGTATACACACTCGGCGGTAAAAATTGTCGCGTCTAGGGGAGTAGGTTACTAAATAAAAATGAAAAATACAGAGAATGTCCACCGTCTCATTCACTTATAATTAAGCGAAGGCAAAGTGAGTCTGACTTGGATGTGGGAGCGCATTGAGTTTATTCTGCCATTTATTCAGCCTAGATCCCAGCTGTAGACTGACTCGGTGGCGAAATGTATCGCGTCCACTTCGCTTCCAGTGATGGGCCACAAAGTTCCTGAGTGGAAATTGCCCGTTCGATTCGGACCCGAGACATGAAATGATCGAAGTGGGTTATTTTTTGGTCTGCAGTGCCTGGTACTCGCAAACGACTGCATCATCTGACGGCCTTGATAATCTCGGAAATCTAGGGTTAAAATCGACTCTCCATATGCTGGTGAGTGGGTCCATACAAGACTCAGTTAATTCTTCACATAATTTGTCCATGTAAAGTTGAGACTCAAAATGGACGTCGACTCGGCAGTGGCGAAAAGCATCACATCCAACTTAAATTCAAGGTCTCTCCGGCGGAATTTTCTGCGGAAGTCGCCTGTTCAAACCGAGTATGGGGAATGAATCTTAAGGAGCGCAGTAGTACTACAGGAAGAGAGCAGACCTTCTTCCTCTCACGTCGCTTTTTCTCCGCACAATATTCCTTGTTAATTGAGGTCTACTCTGGTGCAAACCTGTTCGGCCTGTCAAATGATTGAATCTCGATCCGCCACGCGCCAGTTGTGACTGGAGCAATCATAACAGCGGACTCAGTGGATCGTCATGCAATTTATCCAGGGTGAATTCAATATACTAACTCGGTGGTGAAATGTGTTGCGTCCACTACACGTGAAGCCTGAATCTCGACTCGCAAGTGGAAGTCACCCGTTCAACTCGGGCCCGAGTCATACAGGGGACGGTCTAGATTTTCTTCTCCCTCATTTTTTGTTCTGGAGTGTGGGCTGTTCTATATCGCAGGAGTGAAACAAATTTACCAAGACATGCATCCAGGATCAATTTATGGTGCAGACCGACTCGATGGCGAAATATATCGCATCCATTTCACATTCGGAACAAGTGGAAGTCCCCTGTTCAAATCAAGCCCGAGTCATGAGATCTCCAGAATTATAAACTCTCTCTGTGCCCTCTCTGCAGCCATGAACTCACCAAGCCGTGGGAAATTCCAGGTTCTTTCCTTTTTCTGTCTGGCACTGACCTCCCCTTCTCCCATTATTCTTTTTCATTGTTTCAAATCGCCAATTAAATCGATTCAGCATCGAAATTCAATTTCGACTGCAGTCTAGGATACAGGAGAGAACTTAACTACCGAGTCGTGCATTCAGGGTAATTCGAGTGGTGTATAGGTATGGCATCCACCTCACATATGATGGCATTCAGTGTCGCAAGAAGAAGTCGCTGGATCGAATGCACGATGTGGGAACATAAATAATTTTCGTGTCATGAATACAGCTTCCCTTCATAGGGGCGCAGCCATTCGGCATATCTTATCTTGATTTATTTGGCAGGGCTCGCTCGTTGGATTCCGGTTCGAGTTATTCGCAGACGGGAGTCTCATTTTTTTTCTTTTGTTTCCATTTATTCCTTCGTATTTTTTCTTGGAGATCTGAGCAGGCTACGAAACGAGGAAGAAGTAACTGAGGACCAGGGTCCAGAAACCGCTGGAACACGTACAATTCGCTCACACCACATTATACGGAGAAGCATGGGGGAGTTTCCTGTTCGCCGCTCAAATATACGACCTACTCTCCTACGTATCCGACGAGTCGGGGTCAAATAAAGCCGCCTACCCTGTGAATACCTTAAGGCTTACTCATCTGTTATGCTTTCCTTCTGCTCCTTCTCCAGATCTTGTCCAACTGATTCGTGTTTTGTTACGAATTTGACTGCTTGAGTAGACTCTAGGGCAGACTGAACAGTTGCAAGATACAGATTGCGGGTGGACGTAACGAATATCTCTTGTCACTTATGATATCAGATACAAACTGCAGATGCTCGGAGATGCAGATAGCTGTTTCTCTCGGCATCAAAATGAGAACCGACAGTAAAAGCTATCTACACGTAGGACGCTCATGAATCATTAGCTCAACGCAATTGTGGTAATTTTATGCGAGTCAAAACAAGGCAACATTAAAAGAATCAGTGATGGACATGAGGAGTAGCACTTTGTCGACAAAGCAGTCAACTCCGGCATCTACAGTACCTACCGACAGAATCTCGGAGATTGCCCACCGCAATTTAATTTACCCCAGTGAAGAACGACATCTGTCATTGCTGCACCATATGAACAGAGCTCATCTCCGCTCAGTACTATCAAATGTCTGCCCCGCACTCCGTCCCAATAGCTGCGATGAGCAACATTACAACATGTTTGACCATATCCAAGAATACTTTGGAAGTTCTTGCCCGGAGCATCAATAGCCCCTTCTTAGCAACCCTGTTCAACACTGCTGGGGCTCTCTTGAAAAATATTCAGGTGAATTGTCAATAAATCTCCCATGATCGAGAGAATCTTACTGTGGCATGTAGCTCATTAGGCAAAACAAAAGCAACTGCATCCAGTTGTTACAGCAGGCTCAGAAATTGCTCGATGCGGTGATCACTGTTCATATTGCGTCAGACACGGCCGGCGAGCTGCCACCAGATGTGTTGAGTCATATTGGAAAATTCACAGAGCATGTTGCGGGTCTTGGATTAAAATTTGGTTGATACTAACCCTTGAATGTTTAGAACCTTTCACAAGATTCATGCCTTTGTCGAGGCTCAAAGGCATAGCAACAAATTCAAAAAATGATCTTTCAGCAGGGAGCATTAAGTACATTGCTCAAAGGTTGCCGAGACGGATTGCAACAGGGATTCATCGATTTTCAAGTGAGCCATATATTTCGCATGGGAAAAACTCATGAAAGGATATGTAGGTTGAATCTCTGTGGCTCATGAGGGATGTTACCAAGATGCAAGAAGATGCAGAGAAGAGACACCGAGAAGCGCTCGACATGATTGAAGCCCTCTCCGATACAGCTAGCTCAGATGCTGCATCCTCCGTATGCAACATCTATCATCTACCAGACATGACAATAACATATGTTCAGATGAATAGGATTTATACGAGTCCATATACCAGGTCAGTCATTTCAGAGGAAATTCAACAATATTACCCTCATGTCTTATAGCTCCAACTCAATCTCTATGCTACCATCCGGGCCACAGATATTCTACGGTCGAGACTCAGAAATTGCGGCAGTTCTATGCCTTTTCAGCCAGAAATTTCCTAGGATTGCAATTTTGGGTCCAGGTGGAATGGGGAAAACCAGTTTGGCAAGAGCTGTCATCCATCATCCAGACATTGCAGCTAGATATGATCAATATCGGTTCTTTGTTCCATGTGAATCTGCAGCAACTAAAATGGAACTTGCAGCTATCATAGGAGCTCATTTGGGGTTGAAGCCTGGGAAGGACCTTACTCATGCTGTTGTTCAGCATTTCTCAAGTGGTCCACCAAGCATCCTGCTCCTAGAT